ATTTCTCTGTGATTAATCATAGCCAATAGCCATAGAATATTATTTGACACACAGTTTAGTCCAAAAAACAGGTGAAAAAAACCACCTTCTTTTGGGTCACTCTGTGAACTTTGTGGCGCCCAGAAACAGCAGATGGAGACGCAAAAACACAGCTTATGAGATGAAACATATCGTTGGGATGGTAAAGCACTCTCGATATGTGATGTTATGGAGATGTTTTTTGTAGACGGGACTTTAATTTGGAAGAAATCAATCGACAAAATGGATGGTATTTATATTATTGCAATATTTTTCAAAAAACCTTCGAGCTTTAGCTTAAAAAATGCACTTTTTATCTGAATTTAAAGTGCCGCATTAATCACATTGTTATCTTTTTGGATAATTTTAACGATGCAAATAAAAAACCGATAAAAACTGACAAAGCGCGCGTGCAGAGTGATAACTTAAACGCAACCGATTATGCGACCGTTCCAATTATGAATCAGACTCGTTTGTGAAGTAATTACGTATTCAAGGCCGTTAAATTTTTCCACGTGCATTCGTCGCACATTTACATATGTATCTCAAAATCCACGTTTTCGCTTTTAATTCTCAGAATTCTCCAATTATTTCGGCGAAATTTTATGCATTTAACACGAAACATGATTGCAATATTCTACCGAGAACATAATCCATAGACATTTTACAATAAGATAGTCGATTACAATAACGATATTACAATAATAGCAACCTGCAACGTAATTATTAAACACGATAAATTAAATTAAATTTTACTGCAAGATATACGAAATATCTTCAATAAATCAAATAATTATACAGATTATATAATATTTGTGAATCTTTACGGTTAATTTTTTTTTATTTTGCGAAGAAGGCAGAAAAGGAAAATTTTTCTTTGTTCGAGTTAAGGGAGAATTATTGCCATATCGCCAATAATGCACGCGCGATGATAAACGTTCTCATACGAAAAGAAAATATACGTGTTATTAATAATAATGCAACGCTATAAATAGATACGACAAACAGTCGAACAGTCAATCATACACGCGCCGGGTGTAACTGCGCGTCTTGCCGTTCAGTGTAAAGTTTTTAAGTAATACCATAAGTAAAAAACAATAAATATTTGTGCTTAATAAAATGATAATTACGCGATTTAATTTAATTACATTTCTTATGTGATTGACAATTATAGAACTCCATTTCCATCACAATAAAATTAAATCGCCGAATTTGCTGCATCTTACTTTTGACAGCTAAAATCGTTTTTTGCGCAGTAGGGATATTTTGACGAAACAGAAACACAGTAGTCTCCTTTTACAGAATAGTTAGGGTCAAATATCCTGTTATCCACGACGATGCAGTCGGTTCTGTTGGAAGAACAACCAAGCCAAATACTGCAAAAGTGATATTATATAGATACTTTATACAGATGTGATATCTAATACGACAGTCGCAAGATAAACTGTTAATAAAGATCTATAAATAAAAAATTTTATACGATAAATTTTATAAATTATGCATACCTTTCTAAGAAGTTTGTTCTATGCCTAAAAATTATTAAATAATTTTATTATTATTATGTAGCTTCTATATCTTATAAATAAATTTAATTTGACAAGATAGGACTTAACTCAGAAAATAACAAGTTGGATTAATCTAAGTTTAAATATGTTGTTAGCTAAATATAGATGAACTTACGGTACAGGATTACCAATGAATACACAATCATCTTTCAATGTATTTGCCAGATACATGATGGCTATATTATGTGCGCAGATGACGTTCAAAATATCGAGTAACCAAACTAAAACAAATATTTTTTCATAATTTTTTTGTATTTATTATAGTTTTTACTTGAATAATTTATTTTTAAGTTAAATATAATAATTACAACCACATGCTGGCTGCCCTAATCCGTTATGGAACCACAAATCCAAGTGACCTAAAGATTTTTGAATTCCGGCAAACGATGTGTGCAGAACGACTACACGTTCGGCGTCTGTGTCACAAAATTTGTCCTCACAATTTCTTAACGCAAATAGGGGAAAAGCGGGGTCACTACCGATGAGAAGCGGAGGTTTGCCGTAGCCCGTTTGTTAAAGGTTCTTGGCAGCGAACGCACATATATGCGCGCCAAGACTATGGCCCATAAGTGTGATACTCTTCAACGGCACATTACATGAGTCGATCACTGATTTGATGTTACTAAAAGATATATTTTGTATAAGTGTGTGTGTGTGTGTGTGTGTATACACACACATATATACGTACAATGCTAAATAAATATAGCACCTGTTGATATTTAGCTTTATACATTATGTTATTTGAAATGTAATGACAATCAAGACATAATGTTAAATTTTGTTGGATTTAACATTATGTCTTGATTGTTATTACATTTCAAATAACATAATGTACAAAGCTAAATATCAACAGGTGCTATATTTATTTTGCATTATGCATATATTGCATTGATCATTACACATTACTTATAATTACTACAGTATTATCTGAAAAATTATTTAAATTATAATTAGAATTATATGAATTTGAGAAATTCTATATCTATTATACATATATATTTATTTATTTTATTTGATGTAATATCGTAAAATACCTTGCCAAGAAGTCACCAACTTCGCGAGTGTTGCGCACTGCAAAAGGATACTCTAATAGATTTATGATAATTAGGTCGTGATAACACGACGCATTAGACCAATCTATCGAAAATACTATATAATTTCTCTATAGAAAAAAAGTTAAGTTGTTATTACTTATTTATTAATTTTACAAAATTTTCATTCTTATATTATTTGTACTTGTAATATAAGATTGTGAAATTACGCAAAAAAATTCTGCGTCTTAATTTTATTCTTGAGTAAAAGACATATTTACCTTTATTAATTGAAAGGCTAATTCAGAAAAGTTATAATTGGATGAATTTGCAAGAAAACCATGAGCCATGAACAAAACGGGTTTTGAGGAATTGAAGAGATCACAGGATTCATTTACTTTAACAAATTTGCCTTTAGGAATATCACTGTGAAAGACGCGAATGTAAGCAGTGAGAAAAATAAATTCGCAGTGAATACTCATGCGTGTGTGTTTTACCTCGTGTACAAAGCCATCGAAACTGATTTGACATTGAAGAGACAGGAACTTGGCGGATTTTCTGTAAAGTTGTCAGTACGCATACAACACACGGCATACAACACATGTATCGTATAAAGAAAATTAGAAGTATCTTAATTAACAACCTACTTTATAAAGAAGTTATACTACAATACTATTTTTTCTATACAAACGAGCAATGACATTTTTTTAAATATTTGTTAAGAATTGATTAAAAAGCTGTACCAACCATCATTTTTTGAAGTAATCACGTCATAACCCATCGTCTACAAAAAGAATGATCAGTAAAAGTACACAAATCGTATATATGTTTAATAATACTCATTACTTATAATTAGCGATAAAATGAATGAGATGAATTTAAAAGTATAGAAGATGTAAATGCCACTAATGTATATAGAACTAAAATTATTATCTCTTTACAGTTAAAATTATTTCTCGCAAACGAGCGACGATCGTCGAAATGTTTTATCCTGTATTTTATTTAATAATTATATTGACAAAAGCTGAATATGAATAAATTGAGACATTAAAGGCTTAAATTGAAACAATTTTATTAAATTCCAAAAAATATGGCTCACTGATTATAATCGTGGACTAATATGAACACTTGGAGAATTACACGATAGCGTATTTATATGTATGTCCAGTTGTAGAACTGCAAAGGCTTATATTGAGGTGAGGCTTTGCGGAGTTTAATTCTTAATTTTGGAAGGAATGCGTGGCAAATCGTCTGTGATCGTTTTCTATGATATATGCATTGAAAATCGGGCAAATCGAAAGAATGAAGATTTTAACGTACATTTCAGAAATGAGAAAACATGCTTACCGAATTATTATCGTTGCTCATGGCCGCTATCGTATCGAAGAGGCAGAACAGCAGGACAAATGATGCGATCGTGACCAACTGCATCATTGACGAAAAGGTGAAAAAGCAAATTTTTTCGAGCTTATTTGCAAAATATAGCTTTGATAAAAAATAAAATTAAAAATTAAAAATTAACGTAGTTCAGTTCATAGAATATTCATAGAATATTCGTTGTTTGCCGTTTGTTTGTTTTTTACTAACTGGCAGAAAGATTAGGGAGAAATAGAATAGATATATCGCATTTTTAGTCATACGGCAATTTGCATGAAATTATTGCATAATCGTTGCAATGGTGATACAGAATAATTAGAAATATAATGAGAGCACATATACACACATAAATTCGAAGAACACAGTCCTTTTTTTTAAATGTTTATATCTAATGGAGGTCTAAAAACATTCTAAATGTTTTTTTATATTTTGTATATCAGTGTCCTTGGAAATAACTACAAGTAATGCGCGAATAATGCATTTTGAAATAGTGGTTTCAAACGTTTAACAAAGTTATTATTGTCAATATTGCACAAAAAACATGTTTTCACCATCAACCTGAAGATAAAAAGACTGACTGTTCTTTTTTTATAATAATGCAATTTAATGATAAAATGCACGTACGTGTACTGCAAGATACTGCCAACTGTATCGAGTTTTACATACTGTACTGAATTTCTTTGACTCAATCGAGGATACTAAAAAATAAGAATTTTTAGCGTACTTGAATTATGTTAAAATTATTGCTTTACCCTGTTATACTGGATATTTTTCATTTCAAGTTTTACGTATAACGCCATATATCATTTGTTAATGTGATTTCTATTCACATAAATTTTTTGTAATTGTATTATAATAATATATAGATACAACGCGTTCAATCGACTACAGTACTCTCAAAATCTAGTTGCGTTTTGCCATTCAATTCAAAATAGCATCCGATCGCCAACACCGACCGCCAATTAGCATCGCGGAAAAGGGTCAACAATAAGATGCGATTAAAACGCACTTCGTGGTATGTCTTTTTTATTATGGATTATAAGGTGCATACAGCGAATTTTGCAATAAGAAATCTCCAGAGTTCTAGATAATTTAGTCAGGAAACAGTTGCTCCTTTCTGTTGTAGATGATCTTGTTCATAATTGACATGATCAACTCGGAAATCTTCTTTTCTATTTTTGGCACCATAACATTAAGAATTTCTTGTTGGTTAGCAGTTACGGTTTGCCTTAAAACTTCATTTAGTTGTACCAAATCTTGTTGGCTGTCATCAAAATTAGCTTTGAATGTTTTAATATTAAATTTAGTGTTTACTTTCGACGCATATATTTCCGTTTTATTATTCTTAGTTTCTATTTTTAAGTCTATGCTCACTTTTTCATCTACGTTATCTGTGAAGAAAAAAATATAATTTTGGTCATTTCAATCAAGTAATAACGAGATTTTTGAATTTTTTATATTAAAGTGGCTCTAAACTTTCGTCTTATTTTAATATAAAATCGACTATTATATACCTGTAGATAACTGAATCATTCCCTTATTAGCAAGTGACACCAATAAACGTATGTTGAAGTCATACTTGGATTCTATATCAATATGTTTGAGTATGAGATCAATATCGATGTGAAGTTTATCAGAGGATGTGTTAACAGACTTCGTTTCAAGATTGCAAAATCCTTTTACTTTGAAATCTTCGAGATTTAATTTAAGATTATCTGTGTTAAAAATAATCATTTTGTCAAGAGTTACTGACTCGATCGGAGAAATGTCAAATTCCGACATCCCTGCAGTGCAGACCTTATCCATTGCAGTCCTAAAGCTGTCCAGAAAACATTCATTATAGTTGGGATCTTTGCGGCCACAGACATGAATGTAAGATGCTATAAAGAATATAAATCATTTATTTTAACTTAAAACTTTATAATAAATTGTCTAAGATGTATAAAATGAGTTGGAATATAAAAATTACTTTGAGATGGAGAGAAGATCTTTTTGACAATACATTTTAAATATGCATAAATAGAATTTGTCTCTGTAATATTTAAACTACTTTAATAATATTTAAAAAAGTTGTTATTAAAATATATAGATTTCTCATTATATATTTTTAATAGAATAACTGTTAAGTCTTTGTCATTGGATTACAGAAAACTTATAATAAATAAAATTAAATATAGACTTAATAATATAAATTAAAGAAATGTTTCAAAATTTTCATAAAAATACTTAGTATAATAATAAGGAGAATAACTAAACTTTTTAATCTTTTTTTGCTTTTCCATGTTATCAAGAGCAATCGAAATATTCCAGATAATTAAGTCAGATAACACATCATTGTACACATAAGGATTTAAAATATTTTAATAATTTGTCAATAATTACATCTTAATTACGGTTTAATAAAATAATAAAACAAAATTGCATTCGGCACAATTTTTTAAATATTTTTTTACAATTATTACAAGATAAATTACTTTGATAATTTTAATAACAATTTATTCTATTAATAATTGTAGGCACAGATTTTTTTATCTTTTTGTTATTGCAAAAATAAATTACAGTTACATATTAGTAAATATTTCTAGTAAAATATCAATGTTATAAAATATTAGCAATATATGTAACTTCCTAGACCAAAAATATTATTTTAACAAATAAAAATTGTCCAAAAACAAATAGGTATGAGATCATACAAGTTACCAAGTATTTGATTAGACATAGAAACAAAATATTTTTTTAATAAACCGTTTAACTGTCCAAAAGTACGCAGCAAAAGATTATTAATGCCATTGTTTTTTTAAATATAAATAATATTTTTAAGTTTCATAAAATAGGCTTAAAGTGACTAAAATGACCAATGGGATCACAGTGAAGCAAAAACTTGGCGTGCCCGCATTTTATATATATCTTATCAATTAAATATTAATGCAATCCGGGCACGCCAAGTTTTTGCTTCAAATTTTATGAAACTTAAAAATATTTGGAAAGACTGGCATTAAACTTTTGCTGCATGTACTTTTGAATGGTTAAACGGTTTTTAAAAAGAAATTTTTGTTTCTATGTCAATCAAATATTTGGCAACT